AACAGCCCTTATTTCTATCTGGAGCTGGGCAGGAGGGTGAGGGGGAAGCAGTATGGGGGCTCCTGCAGGATGGAGCTCTACTGTGGGACTCTGCGGGACACTGTGTGCCATCCCCAGCAGGTCCTGGCTGGCCAGGTGCTGGCACCAAGCTCATCTGTTCAGCAAGGGAATGCCCTGTGGAGGAGTTTGTTGCCACACCAGCATGTGGAGTTTGGTCTAAGACCCCATTGCAGGGTCAGCTGGCTGCTTTATCCTTTAACAAAGCCCTACAGAAATGACTGACTTCACTGGACTTCGTTGGAGGTGATCATCTACAGTGGTCACCCTTTGAAGAGCCAGGTTTTGTACCCATGCCCCAGAGGGAGGCAGAGGCAGTGCTGGTTTTTGCATGACACGTGGATAGCAGGAAGCAAATTCACTTGAAATTGCTCCATTGGGTGTTCCAGGGCTCTGCAGCCAACTGCCTCCTCATGAAATAAGATCTGCATGAAATGATGATGCAAAGTTTTCTTACCCTGAAATTCAGCAGAACCACCTTCTTGACTGAGCAAGTGTGTTGGCATCTTGCAGTGTGGGCTTTCTTGTGGAGGAGAGATGTAAGCGGGAAGGAAGCTGGCTTGGATTCAATTTGATTTCCCCAGGGTTACATATGTTAAAGAGAGAAAGCACACATAAAAAAGCAGATGCAGATAGAAGGTTAAATTCTGTTATCATTTATGAAGGGATAAACGTACTGTAATCCTACTGATAATAGGGTTCTGCTGGATTGAAATGAAGATTGCTGGAGACAGATCTGACACAGGCAAGCAAACAACAGCATGCTGAAGAGTAAGACGTGCTTCTCATCTGGTCCTCTCATCTTTCTCTCTTCCAGTCTTTCGCTGGACCAAATTCTCCTCCAGATTGCTGTGTAAAGACCCTGCAGCAGAAGCCTAAACTGGCCAGAACCCAAAAGCAGAACTCTTCTCCCTTTCCTCTCTGCAGCCACACCAAACCAGGGCTCAGGTTTATTAGAACACAGATTGATGAATCAGAGAAAACTCTAGGTTCCCCAGAGAAACATTTTTGGGGCAAAAGGCTTCCAAAGAAATCTCCCTCTGCCCAAAGTGACTGTGAAGGCTGTGCCTTTCCTTCTGGTTCTCATTTCAGTCCTATGATTGACTTTCAGGGCTGAACAAGTTCCTCACCGTTCTTCCCAGTGCCACCACTGTGGAAGCTAAACCCTGGGTCTGTTTTCCACCCTGTCCCCAGCAGCTCCCCATTTGCTCTAGAACCCAAGTTGATGTGGTTCATTTGCATTCACAGTCCTGTACCTGAAGGCAGAACCTGGCCCATGAAGACCTCAAAGATGAAGTTCTAGAGAACAGCTGTCTCTGACCATTTCTCTTTCCCCCAACTCTCCTTTCTACTCTTGTGTATTTTCCACATCAGACATAGCAGAGCCATGATGGCATCTGTCAGTGCTGAGCACTGGGGTTGTCTCAGCAGTCTGCCCCCTTCCTCACCACAATGGTCACACAGGAGGACATCAAGGGCTCATGCAGTAATAGCACTGGCACACCAAAGGTGCAGGCAGGACCTAATCCATCAGTGAAAGCAGTCACCACCTACTGCTTGTCTCCAACACTTTCCACCCGTTTTGGTCCCTCTTTGAGGGTTTGCTCAGACATCAGGAAGATCTTTGCTGTTTTCCTTCCCAAAGAGTGGTGGTTTTCTGTGCTCAGTGAGGGCACAGAGGGGTTAGGCTCCCTCACAAGCTTTCAGAACTTCTCCTATAGATGCCCAGAGAAGCTCCATGGAGACAGAGCATTCTATGCTTCAGCCTCCTACCCACACACCCCTCAGCTGTATTTCCTCCAGGCATCCTCAGCTTGTGCCTCCCTCGCTTCCCTCACAGGCAGTCTATAAGTTATCTCAATGTCAAGAAGCATTTCTCAATATACAGCTGCTACCTCTGCCCCTTTCTGTCTTTAAAGAGTTGTCTCGGGGACCAATAAATTGCATTCTTTTTTAAATGCATTTTCAGTGTCTTAAAATGATTGCCAGCAAGTTTATCAGTACTTTCCTCAGTACCTTGTGGTGCATAGCCAGATGAAAAGCCAAAGAAGGACGTGATGCCTAAACTAAGACACAGGCAAATAGAGACAGACTCCCTTTCTCCCCATCAGCCCCATCCTAACACTTTGGCAGGTCCAGGACACCTCTATTTCTGAGAGGGAATTTCTGTAATTGACCTATTTGGTTTTCAGCCCCCTTAAACTACCCTCACTTGGACATCTCAGCTCACTTGGTAATCTCTATTTTCAGACTCACCCCACTCCTCAGACACCCAGTTCATGATTTTGGATCTCAGCTTGGGAAAGAGAAACTTAAAACCTAGGCTACTAAACTGAAGGTGTATGAGAATTTTGGGTCTGACCTTGCTTATGATAAATGTTCGCATCCTTCCCCCAGTGTTTTATCACTTGTTCTTTAGTCACAGGTATTTTCACTGACCCTACTTTTTTACTCTTACTGCCCGTTATCTTTCTAATAACTTACTAATGGATTTTCTTTCCTATTCATGTACATAAAGCACATTTCTTGTTCCTCATGCATGCTTTGAACAGCATTGATAAATTTTAAGTTTTCTTAAGTGCTCTCTCCTTGTCCACAAACACTGTTTTTGCTTCTCAGATTCCTCCACAGCTTTCCTTCCCTAAACCAGGTGCAGAGAGGGAGTGTTTGAAACAAACACTCCAACTTTTAAGTCCTGTCTGCAATGAGACATGACTCAGAATGGCTTTTTCCCCATTCCAACAGAAATTCTGCTGTCCTACCACAGTTAAACTGGGTCCAATTTTCAACTACATCTTCCATAAATACTTACCCCAAACCTGAATAGCAACATTTTTGCCAGTGGGAATTGAATGTCAATTTTTGACAGTAACGCCTAAAGCGTTCAGGGGTTCCCCTATCTTTCTTCCAAATCCTAGCAAATCCACAGGAGAGTATCAAGCAGGGCACAGAGGAAATGTCTTATGAGGTCTGGAGCCTCTGGCAACATCACATCAAGTCCAACTGTGCAGTCCTCACTAGTGACCAGAGTTAATTTACTTATAGACAGCTCGGAGCCCTTCACTTGGTAGTGTCCATTTCATTCCCTCTGAATACATTTTCAGTCCAGTGGATACAGTTAATGATAACTTCAGCAGAGAGGTCCTCACTCAGCAAAACTCTTATGCCCAAATGTAATATTCAGTGTGAGGATACTGTCACTTAAATCCATGGCAAAAGCTACATCCCTGACTGTTGCACTAGGCTGGGGCTGGCCAAGTTTTTGCCCTACATCTGCCATAGCAGGAGTGTGGTCTAAACCCCAGGATCCTGGGACAGATCCTGGTATCAGTGTCTATTCTCTCATCGCCTCAGGACAGCAGAAAGAGGGGAAAACATAAGCACAGACTAAGGGAGGCCCATTGCTTCATTCTCATTTGGGCCCTGATTCAATTGTGTGGCTGCTCCTTCCCTTCTAGGGATGAAACAGTAGCACCTAAAAATTATTTCTTGATTGCAATGACCTTTTCCCCCATATCTTCTTTCCCAGTAGCAACAGGACTGTATGCTGTAAAATAGCAAAGTATATATATAATGTCAAACTCTGAGCAGATCAATAAGCTGCAGTTTTACACTCATTTTTAAGCTGAAACCTTGCTTGTCTTTGGTGTCATCGTGAAGCTGTGAGGCTGAACCTGTGAATATGATGGCCAGGATTTGATCCTGTTTCATTAGGAAAGCCATGGACAGCTGCAACTGCTTGTAAAGTGGTCACAACCACAGCTCTTCTGCTTCTGGTCCATTCAAAGTGACCCCTTCCTCATTTGATCTCTTTCAAGTGCACTGCTTTGTTGTTTCTTTCCTCATGGAAACTAAAGAGTGAATGAAAATCTTTCTATTCAGGATGGCATTAAAAAGAAAAAAAAAAGGGGCAAATAAAGACATTTTAATTGCATGGGATTTCTGAGTAAGGTTTCAAAGTGGGGTGAAAAAATAGCTGTGTGCCTGGTACACAGAGAGCCCTTTCTCTTCCCCTTTGTGGCAGAGGAATCAATGGAATTCATATAACAGAAGGAGGGGGGTGGGAAGAGAGATAGGAGATGTCTTGCTCAGTACCAGCAGGTCACAAGCCCCATGAGGCTCAAGCAAGGCTTGCAAGGAAGTGGCTGACTGTATCTCCATGTGTACCTTTTTGTTCCTTGCCTTGGATTTGCTGGCCAGTGGCATGCTGCTTTGCCTGGCTCTCCATGGAGCTTGTAGCCTACAGGAATTTGGACAGAGTGGTACAGACATCGCCGACAGAGACCCTGATCACTGACTATCCCTTTAAATGCAGTCTCATGACTTAGTCTTTACTCCACTACCTATTAAAGAAGGAGACAAGACGTACATAGACAGCTTCCATTCAGACACCCAGAAGGACAGAGAAAGGCAAGACAATTTAACAGAACTAACTGTGAGTAAATACAAGGCATTAGAGGTGCTCTCTAGAGCAAAGGGCATGGAGAAAGATTTGTAGGAAATCCTGAAGTGAAAGACGGTGCAGTATGTTTTAAAATATACTTGCATACAATGTTCAAAAGGCAAAATTCTGTAAGGAAAGCTATTCTGTCATTTTAGCATTATTCTTTTAAATATGGATTTAAGTGTCTCTTAATAGAACATTGACCAGTGCTTGATTTCCCATAAAATTCTGTAGCAGTGATTTTGTGCTGGAAGAACTGGTGTCTTTTGTAAATTTAACCTTTTTTTACTGGGATAAATTTCATAGAAGGAATAATGGTGGGGGATAGGGTGTGGGGAGGGGGAATTTGAAGCCAGCCTTTGCAAACTTGGATCTAAAGCCCAGCCTGGAGCCTCCAGTTAGATATGTGCTCCTCACAAGGGACGGCCTTCCTTCTGGGAGTGCTGGATGTGACCCCCTTTCTACTGGGGACAGAAAGGAGCTGTGGGTGCTCAGGAGCATGGAGACTGCAATAAAGTGTCCCATCGTCTGTGCAGGTAACTAGCTTTTTAACCAAGGGGTTCCGTGTCTCCACACACGGTGGTGGCCAAGCATCCTGTGTGGTATAACATTCTGGAAAACTCATTTCTTGTTAGTCAACAGTCACCAGCATGTCCCTACATACTCTTTTCTTTGTATGACAATAGTTACTGGGTAGACCTGGACAAGTGTTTTAACAATGATACTACTTTTGCAAGTGGTATCTTAACACTGATGGAAAGAAAAAGTTCCTCTGTCTGCTCAACCTATTGATTTTCTAGATGTATCTGTATTATTAATTGTAGGTATGATTAGCTGGTGGAGAGTGCTCCCAGCTCGCCCTCATGTTGCCCATTTTCGTCTCTGCGTTTTTCCTTTCTGCTTCTTGCTTAACCAAAGCAAACTGCATCTCCTATGATGAACTGAAAGAGCTGAAGACTGAATTTGCCATCAATCTCTACCGACATGTATCTGAAGCAGAGAACAGAACCAATCTGGTAGTCTCTCCAGCAAGTGTGGCTGTTTCTTTGGAGCTTTTGCAGTTTGGAGCTCAAGGAAATACCTTTATGGAGCTGCAGGATGCTCTAGGGTACAACATTCATGGTAATGTACTGCTTATAAAAAATATTTCTTGTCTTAATTTTGCAATAAATTCACAGCTTTACTAAGGAAACAGCAATTACACACATCTTCTGTCTTCTGTCTCACTGCAGGATGCAGTTTAGGAGTATTTTCTCCATCTTTGATAGCCAAGTACCAGCTGGAGAAAGAAAACTTAAGGGAATAGTTGAAACACATGTTATCATTCCTCTTTTCTGTTGACCAGTGCTTACTCTTTTACTGCACTGAAATACAACTACGTCTAGAAAAGCTACTTCTATAAGCAGCAGAATTGGTCCTGGTTTCCCAGAGGTTCGTCATGTCCATTGTGTTCTGGCATCCCTGTGTCGTCTGCAAGGAGGTGCTGGGCAGAGGACAGCTGTTTTCTCTCCAATCCCACTTATGTTTTCTCTCCTGTCCCACTAACAAATTTTGTGAAACCTATAGAAATTGAATTATCTTTAAGACTTTGAACCTTTTTCTAATGTTTTTACAACTGGACAAAAAGATGAAAAGTTATTAGAAGAAGACTGGCAGAGGGAGATACAGTGACAGATGGATGGTGCAATTGCGTCTTTCCATGAAAGCAGGCTAAAATAAAACTCACTGGGAATCTGGAAGGGATATGGAAAAGGCAGATGTCTTAAAATCCAGCGTTATGTCAGCCGAATTTAAGGATGCTGTTTTCATTTTAGCTCTGGATTATCCTACCATCTCACATCACACGTCAAAAACTATTTTACATTATGGGCACAATGTTTATGAAAAGCAGATGACTGCCTCATCTTCAAAATTTGCAGCTTACATACAAAACTTGTGTATAGAGATGACACTGCTATTTCTCAGCATAAGATTTACTGTCAGTGTATGAAGACTAAAGACAAAACCTACAGCAATTTCATCAGCCTGTGCTGTAACTGCCTTAGTCACCATTACCATTTGGTATAACATTGATACTCAAAACCAACACAGAGGTAAGAGCTACCTCTGGCTGATATACAGAGAGGTAGCTGCATGTACTGCCACAAGTACAGTGCATCTATATTATGAGTAACCGATATAATGAAGTCTTGCCTATAAGACTCCTGTTTCTGTAGCTTCAGTAGGGTAATATTAAACAACATTAATTTGTACAGGGATTATACCTTGCTTGACACTTTTGGTCATCAGGGGTTCAGTTAGTAAGAAAGAATCCTAAAAATAATATTGCGCAGTGAAATTCAGGCACAGATCTCCATACAAAATGTAACGAAGTGCAGAGGTGGTTAATGACCTGCTAGCTCTTTTTTGCTGCCTTGCTTCCCATGTGGCACATCATACCAAGCAGACTTTTTATATCCATTTTAGTTGTCTAGTGACACAAGCCACATGAGCTTTGGCTTTCAGTAATATTAATGCATGAATGTGAATATAAACTAGGATGGGACCTATTGCTATTGGTTATAGCAGCACATTTCTGGTGATGGAGAAGCAAACTACTTCCTCAAATGGTTTAAATCAAATAAATACATCAAAAAAATCAAATTTCCTATCAGATGAATAACACCAAATCATATATACGCATATCTGATAAAATTCCTTTCTTCCATTAGATGTTTACATTAATGTTTCTGATGGTCTGTCTTGAACAATAATGAAGGATGTGGTTAAAAACTTAGCAGGCTGAAAACAATGAAAACATTGATGGTTCATTCACTATTCATGAAGAATCCGGTCTTACATGCACTTGTAATCTTCTTTTAATGTTTGGAAGATTTGTTCACGTTTATTCTAGTACTAAGGAAAACAATGTTGAAAGGGGTGTCTCTCTAGACAGCACAGACAAAATGACATGCTTTAAAATGCTTTCTCCTTGCTGCTTTATTTTATCAACAGTAGAGTATTTTAAAGCAATTTTGGACTGTTCTCCAAGTAAGAACTCAGGACTTTGGGTAGCTAAGCACTTTGATATGACTGAAGTTACAAGCTCAGGATACCACACCTCATGTTAACATCTGCTTCCAATTTACCATCTTTGATTTCTCACATCCTCCAGAGAGAGCTTGCCAAATGCTCCTGCGCTAATGCAAAACACATGAGAATAGCACTTTACACCTCAGACTGTGTGAGTTTTCTTGACATCTGTTTAAGGAGGTCACTAGTTTATCCCTTAAAGAGTAATAGATCTAAATTTTAATACCAGACTTCCCACAGGTGATTAGTCTTCCTGTAGGTTATTGAAGGAGCACGATAGAAACACAGAATCAGCTAGGTTGGAAAAGACCTCTAAGATCATCAAGTTCAACCATTACCCCAGGACTGCCAAGACCACCAGTAAACCATATCACTGAGGGCCTCATCTACACAGTTTCTAAACACTTCCAGGGACGGTGATTCCATCACTTCCCTGGGAAGTCTGTTCCAATGCCTGATCACCCTCTCTGTGAAGAAACTTTTCCTATGGGGTCAGAAAGCATGCACTGAATTCTCAGGTGGTAGAAATCAGTAGATGTGGAATTTTCCCTTTACCCCATCAAGAATCTGAATTGACGCAGTAAAAGTCTCCTGGTGACCTGGCTGCCAGTTGGAGACTCACAGTGATCCTGCCTTGACCTGACACTCAGCCTGAAACACGTTAGTCCAGGTAGGATGGACTTCCCAGTTAGCTGCCCCAAGCTACCCATGTCCCAAGCAGCAGCCCAGCCTGACTTCCCTCCAGCACTGCCTACACCCACAGGTGTCTGGAGAAACTGGGTGATTCTTTCCTTTGATTTAATGCAGAGCCTGTAAACACTGTTCAGTCTGGGTGCAAGTCCCAGGCCTCAGGTCACCTCAACATGAACCACCCCATGACAAATCATCACAGCAAGCAAAGTGATGATGGGCAGAAATGGCTGCTAAGTCACCCTTCAGAGGAGCCTACTAGAAACTTTGTGATTTTAATAACACAAGAGCCTCTAAGTTTGCAGGACTTGTGTTCCTCCTGGGCCCACACCTCAGCCTTGTATCCATCACAGAAGCTACCACCGCTGAACTACCATTAGCTTCCTAGGAACAGGAGACCAGGACACTATTCAACTACTTTCATTAGTAGAGAACAAACTAGAGAATACATTACTGAATTTTTGAATGACACTGAGCTCATAATTGCTACAAGCACTTTGGAAGACCAGAATAGAATTGTAAAGGATCCTTGAAAATCTGAGACATGCATGAAGCAAATAGGGGACACTTCAATAAAGACAAGTGTAAAATTCTACATTTACAGGGAATAACCAGTGTTCAAATCAGGGAACAATGGGCCAAAGAAGAGTGTTTTTAGGAAAGGATCTGATGGTTCTTAGGAATTAAAAAAAAAAAATATTTAATGCAAAATATAATTGTACTTCAAAAAAAAAAGCAGGCACTGTTGTGTGTTGTTTAAGAAGAAGAGTTGCTTGTAACACACGTGAAGCAACCTGTCGTCTGTATCTATCATTGCCAGGGCTCACCTGCAATAACAGGCCAGTTCAGGGTGCCATCCTTCAAGAAAAATAAAACACATCAGGGTGAAGGGTAGCAGAGACAGACCTGGCGCAGTCAGGGAGATGCCTTTCCTGGGATGGGTGGCATTGTTAATGCCAGGAGAAGGAGACAGCAGTATTGTGGCAGTGGCAGCTCAGCCAGTCGTGGCATGGAGGTGTGAGCCTGATGTGAAATCAGCCACTTGATATATCTGAATTAGAGTGATTTCTACAGCAACATGAAGAGTCCTGTCCCACGCCCAGTGCATCACCATCCTTGAAACGGCACTTGACAGTAATACCCCATAAAGTCAAGAGTGCTTCAGTTGTTATAGTGATTTAACTTTCAGAGGAGCATCATCAGTGCTGCATCAGCACCAGCACTGGAGCTGAGAGCTGGGCAATCTCTGCTCTCCTTAACCTCAACACGATAATTAGTTCTTCCCTTTCTCTTGCCTGGCAGATCCAAGCGTGCAGGAGTTCTTGCATGCACTGTACGAAGGAGTGACCGACTCCAGCCAAGGCACGGTGGTTCAGCTGGCATGTTCCTTTTTTGTGGACACTGGAGTGCAGCTCTCACCCCATTTTGCTGCACGTGCTGTACACTGGGCAAACAGCAGCCTGCAGCAAACCAACTTCACTGACCCCAACAGAACCACAGCCCAAATACAGGAATGGATCACTGGTAAACTTGGAGGTAATGTAGCAACCAGTGAGAATGACTGCACATGAATAAAATCTAAAATGAAAGTAATGAGAGAAATTGCATTTAACCAAGTATGAAGTTTTTTTGCCACAATATCTTGTCCAGGCTAAGGCTGAGAGCCACGAATATCCATAATGCTGATTTCTAATGTGAAGAAAAAGCTGGAGAAGTCTAAATCTGAGAGTATAGATTTGCAGTATCAAGCTGGTAACCTCTTGACCTTGTTCCTCTAATTTTTAACGTGGCAATCCTTCACAGTGTTGTCAGTTTTAATGAGGAGCAGCCATATTCCCCAGGTACTGAGTCTGCTCCGTTGAATGCTTTCATGCTGCTGTGGGGAACATACAGGGCCATAAGCTCAGCAGTTAGACTCTGAGTTGAAGAAGTCAAAATGGGACCTAAAAAGAATTTACTTTCCATACACAAGAAAACTAATGAAATTAAATTCTGTGTTAATGAAAAAAATAATTGAAAAAGCAAGTCCTTAGAAGCAGCAAAGCAAATCAATCCCTGATTTACCCCACCAGCTTAAATCATATGTGTGTTAATTTGGCCATCAATATGCAAGGTGATGTTAAACACACACATTAAAGCTACTATTAAAGAAAAAAATTCTGTCCTTCTCAAATGAACTGTAATAAGTGATACAGCTTCATGATAGAAAAGTATTGCTCTAGAAGCAGGTACTAAAATGGGAGTTGATATTGTGGTGCTCACCTGCATATCAATGAATTAAAAGTGGATTGCACTCTCAAAAATCACTGAGGTACCCAAAGCAGGATCATTTGAACTGGCAAGTGAATAGGAGAGGGGGAGAATTAGGATATAATCTTCAATTGACTTAGTTATTTTGTAAAATGGTCTGTCATTATGAATCCATTTCATGAGAGATTTCTGGTGCTAATAATAAACTACTCCAAAATACATATGGGCACATTTCAGCTAGAAAACCAGTTGGGGCCAGGGCATGGTGCTGAGCTGTTCATCTACAGCCAGGGCTGCTGTCATCTACGCTGTTCAGTGAGTAGCATAGTCCTGGCACAACTTTGGCCCTCAACACTGACCAACTCAAGCTGGGGAGACCATGGACCAGCCCGCAACCCCAATGAGGTCCATGTACAGATGGGGACGGGAAGGTAGAGGGTTTAACAGCGCTCTGTGAGTTGTGTCTTGCCCTTAGGGGTGAAGAGCAGTCCCAGCTTGCTTTATTTACTCACATAGACCTGACTGTCAGGCTTGGGTGAGTAGGATGGCATGTGTCCCCCTCCCTGTCTCTTTTCCATGCAGATGGGGATGTGCGCAGCGTGCTGCTGGAGAGCACTGGGTCGCCGCTCAGCCAGGTCGCCTTGGTGAGCACCATGTACTTCAAAAGCATGTGGCAGAAGAAGTTTTCCTTTATGGATACCCAGATGCTGCCTTTTACCACGGCAGAGGGCTCAACACTGAAAGTGCCGACAATGCATCACACAGCTGAAGTTAACTACGGTAACTGTCCTTAATCTGGATTTGCTCTATTGAACAACATAGAAGTTTTATTTATTTAATTTCCACAGGTACCACACTAAGATGTGTTATTTTCCCAACTCGGACAAGTCTCAGAAGAACTCCTGTCAAATGAAGAGATCACCTGGGTGACCAAGTTGACTCCTTATAATCCCAGGCAATACAAAAGAGATCATGGGTTCAAACTGGTTTCTAAAATATCTACTGTCCATGCCCCATCCCTCACAGACCAACACCTCCCAGCACTCCATAACAAACTTATCAGCTGTAGCAAATACCAAAAGGCACCAAGATAATGTGCCAGGAGAAGAGAACAGGTGAGACTGAGGATACCACAGTACACAAAGTCCTTTGTAACAGCATGGAGGTTGTTAAATAAAGCTGCCTGGGAAGGGAGGTTGATAGGAAGCATATCTGACCCCATGACAGAGGGGCAGTTAAGACTAGGACTATAACAAGCCCCTACCAATTTGATCTGTGGAGTGGGTAAGAAATTTCCTGTCTCCTTAGCCTTATCACTGTTTGTCCCTTGAGTGTGCAAGCACCAGAGAGAGGATAGTCTCACAGGGAACACCAGCACTGCACACCCATCCCTCCTGTATCTGGTCACAGCCTGCCTCCAAGGCTTTAGGGTAAAACTGAAAGTCTTCAGGGCCAAATTATGCAACAAAGTGGGGAGAAAATTTTATGGACCTTATACCAAATCAGTGGATGATCTCAGCATGGGCTTGGACCAGTATGAACATAGGTCGAACTTTTATTTACATAACATATGAATACAGTGTTGGCTCCTTTCAAAGCTTGGAGAATGTGAGTATGTGGGTTGCTAACAGAAGGACTCATGATGTAGGCTTAATTTCCTGCCACCAGGAACTTGTCCATTTAGCTCTACAATCTCTTTCAAACTGTAAAAAAGCTCCTTTCCCTTCTACCCTAGATTTCAGAACTGCACTTGGGTAAAAACCTTCCTAATTCCAAATCTAATTCTTTTTGAGACCAATTTATATCTCTTAGCATTGTGCCAGCTTTATCCTTTCAGTTAAATAGTTTCTCTTCAGCTTCAATATTTACTCCCAAATGTATTTGCAAGTCACCAAGCTGCCTCTCAGTTTCCTGTTAGCTGAGCTGAAGATGCCGAGCTCTTCTAAACAATTCCACTGAACTAAACCAAACCAAACCAAGTACTCCAATTCTCTATTAGTCCTTTTCTGCACTTTTCCAATTTAGATTAATCTTTCTTGAAAACTAATAACCAGCAATGTCCATAATATTTGCAATGAGACCATATACATAATCAATAAAATGCTCTTAGTATTCCAATGACTTTGTAAAAACACCTTGCATAGTGCACTGCAGAATCAGCTCAGGGTTGGCCCCACCTGAGCCTTTTTGCTTTCTCCATTTTTTTTCCAGCTGATGAGTTGTAGGTAAATCAAGGTGAGAGAAATCTCCACAGGTATATACCTGATATTTGAATTTATCTCACTTTCTTTCTGTGACCTGATTGTCCTTGATGAAAGGGATCATTCAAAATTCGCTGATTGTCAGATTTGATAGGGCCAATTCAGTCTTTGTCACTAGAAATGTTAGAAGCATTTCTAACAAATCTGTTTGAAATTAATACAAAAGACTGGCCCAGTACAACAACAGAGAGGCATAAGATAACTTTCTTTCATTATTAAATGAGAACAGCTGTCTCCCATCAGGATCCAGAACACAGAGCAAGAAAGATTAGCAATGGCTTGTTATTGATCACAGCATTTACAAGATTGTTCATCCTTTTAACATGGCCATGCAGAGTAAATCAGCCTGGGGACAATTAACACTGCTCTAGGAAAATGTCAACGTTACTTTTTACACATGCCTTTTAAACTCTGCAGCTATTTTACATATTCTTTTCTCCCAGGCAATTTGTCAACTATATTTGAATACTGATATATATATATAATCCTTACGGCATGCTCAAAATCAGTTCAAGTAGGAACGCTAAATGTTCTGACTCAGTCATCTCTTTGATTTTCTTTTTAATTAGCAAATAAGGGATGAGGCGTCCACAACTTCTCTGGGATATCTATATCTATCTCTCTATATATAGGTATTTCACACAATCAACTCTGTTCTGATGAGCCACTGTTGGGAGTTAACAGCAGCCTGAGCTTGGTTGTGAGAGCCCATGTGCTAAAGACAACCTCTTACACCCCATCACTGCAGTCCTGAACTGTCTGTTGACCCAGGCCTGGGTTGTGGGGTTTGGGGTTTTTTCCCACCTTAATGATGAAATAAAGATCTATATTTGTCCACCCACAGGCCAGTTCCAGACTGCAGCTCTGGAGGCTTTCAGCGTGATTGAATTACCCTACCTGGGGGAGAAACTCAGCATGTTCCTAGTGCTTCCCAGCCACAAAAGAACATCTTTGTCCCAGATTGAGTCACACATTTCTGTCAAAACCATAACCCTCTGGGCCAGCAGCTTAAAGAGAATGAAGATGGACATTTTTCTACCTAGGTAAGCAATGTCAGTACTCCAAGGTGGCTTCACTACTTCAGTTGTCAGAATTCTGTGTGATAGCGCTCACACAAGCAGTGTACAATGCAAAAGCAAACAAGATGCTTCTGGTTTTGTTATTCATCACATGATCAGGAAAGCTCTAACCCTTTCTTAACCATGAAGAGGTGAGCTAGGAATGCCAAAACTTCGTGGTATGTTCTGTACTGTTTCAGACACCAAGTATTTCAGTTGATCCTACAGATTTCACTTAAAATTTGTTCGGGGTATAACAATCCTTTAAGAATTTAAAAAGAGAGAAATGTTCCTGACTCTT